CGTTTCTTTGCCGACCGCTAATTCTTCCGTCCAGCCCAGGAGAGTTGAGTCGTCTGCGAAAAGGGACTCTTCTAATCGAAAGACTTCCTGGGTGCTGCTCCTTAAGGCCCTCTTTACTTCAATTGGAGGGAGACTATTACCTGGTCCCCACGACCATTCTAGACCGCACTCTTCGCCTATCTCCGCCGCTTTTTCTCTTCGTTTTTTGGCAGCTAACCGCATCGCCTGTGCGTGATACACATTAAAAAGTATCGGAGATGTAGCGCAACCCTCCCGAAGACCTCGTACCGGTAACCATTCCTCGCTTAGTTCCCCTCGACCCTTAACTTTGTATTTCGTTCCTTCATGCAGGTTTTTCAAGACCTCTATCACACCCTCTGTCATTCCTAAGTTTTCCAAAACCATCCACAATAAGGGCCTGTTGACTCGGGGGTATGCTTTTGTTATATCTAACAGTACAGCTCCCGGTCTGTTCCCGGTCGTCTCCGCCTTCCCAAATACCCTCCTTGTTTCCTCATCTATTCTCAGTATGATTTGCGTTGCGTCACACGTCGATCGTCCTTCTCTGAAACCATTTTGATTCTCACCACATGCCTCTATCTTCTCCGCCCATTTTCTAATCCTACTCGTTAGTATCCTTGCCATTATCCTGCTCAACACCGGGAGTAGGCACACACCCCTGCAGTTGTCGAGTTCATTTCTAGCTCCTTTCTTATGTAGGGGTATGACCCATCCTTCCTTAGCTTTGTCGGCCCAGTTCTCAACCGGTGTGGCTAATTGTTCCATCATGCATTGGTATAGTTCTTTCCGGGTGTCTATACTTAAGGCTTTCACTGCGCTAACACTTACATTGTCTACTCCTGCCGCTCCGTCTTTCATGTTCGCCAGTTCTCGTTCGAATTCCACGAAGGTTATTGCTTCTTCCATCTCTTCCGCTGCTGCCTTTGCCTCTGGAGAGTCCTTAATTTCTGTTGACGATGCCGTTCTCATTATCTCTATGACGTCCCGCTCGTATCTGTCTTCCGAGACTTTCATGAAGTGTCGTCTGAACTCTTCTGGCGAGAAAAATTCTTCTTCTATGTTCTGGAGGTCTTTCCCCCCTAAGTACCTTAGTGTCTTGTACATGCGTCTTATATCCCCTTTCGCTTCGGCGTCCTTTGTTTCGTCTACCAGTTTAAGCCACCACTCTTCTTCCCATCTTCTTTTAGCCTTCTTGTACTCTTTTCTGACCTCCTGCCTTTGTATTTTAAAGTTTTCCGTTCGTGTTCGTTCAAAACTCTTCGTAAGTGCCCCGATCCTCCGTTTGAACCCCTGTATTTCTTCTAAATGTGTATCCAGCCATGGACTCGGTGCTTTCTTTTCTTCAAATCCGCACACTTCTGTACCCGCTTCATTAATCAAGTTGACTAGGCGTTCACTTTCCTCACCCGTACCCTGTTGCTCTCTTTTACCGTCTACTGTCGATGCGAATGCTTGCCGGATTGATCCATCTCGAAGAGCTTCCCAGTTTATTCTCCTTTGAGTCTCACTTTTCCTAATTGCCTTCGCCCCCTTCCTTCTCCAGACCTCCATGCATTTCGGCCTGTGGTCCGATAGAGATGTACCCGCTATTACCGTGTTTATACTCTTCACTACCCTGCTCCGGTCTTTTTTCTTCACCATGAATCCGTCAATTTGTGCCATGTTCTTCTTCCTGGGCACTTCCAGGTTCCCCTCCTGTTGTGCCTAAAGAAGGAGCTAGTCCAGGTTAACCCCTGTTCGTGACACCATTCTATTAGATCCCTCCCCGCCGCGTTGGTCCTACCCAGTCCGAATGGTCCTACCGCGTCATCTTCTTCCCTCTGGGCGGTGTCCCCTACACTGGAGTTGAAGTCGCCTCCTAGTACTAGCTTTTTTCCGCCACATCTAATCATTTCGTTTAGCTCTTCTCTATACGCATCGAAATCCCGTCTATCGCTATTCCAAAGGGGCTGATATGTCGCTACAAACTTGATTTGGTTGACCTCTACTGCCGAACTCCTGTCCCCGCATGTCCTCTTGCATCCTTGTTCTCTCCAATCTAGCGCCCATTCGTCTCGGAGTATTATCCCGCTTCTTTTGCCGTGTATAAGGACCCCAAACATGTCTTTTTCTTTAATCCATTTCATTCCTTCCTCCTTTTCCCTCAGTTCGGACAGTAATACCACTTCCGCGTTACTCTTGCTTATACATCTTAGGATTTCTGCAAAACGATTCCGTCTAGGGAACGAGACTCTCGCCCCCTGTATGTTCCACGTCCATACCCTTGTTACTTTACCTTTCCCCTTCGTCTTTGCTTCCCTTTCCCTCTTTTCTGCTCTGGTCTTTTGCACCTTCTCCCTACGTTTCCGTTTTTCTGTTCGTCTTCTTTCCCTTATCTCTCGCTTTCCTCCCTCTCCTTTACACCAGGAGCACCGGTCGCATACAAACTCATCTGAGTATCCCTTGATACTCCGCAAGCTTGTGCATTTCATGTGGACATACCCCCCTAAATGACACCACACGCTTATCTGCCGCCTATCCTTGATTTCCTTCCCACAGATCGGCCATACGTATGTTTCAGGACCTGGGTTTCGTTCCACGTCTCCTGCCCTCACCAAAAGCTGGACCCAGTATGCAGGTTTACCCGGTCCAGCTGCCAAAAACCCGCCAAAGGTTTTTCCAAATCCCGCCCTTTACAAATCCACTAGACTAGTAAAACTTGCAATTTTTGCCCTTTACAAATCCCACCCCTTTAACATCCGACTCCTCCAGGCATGTATAAAATCATACAAGTCTGTTCTTGCTTGTCAAACGACGATAGATAAGATGATTAAGGAAATATAAAAAGAGCAAAAACAATTCAAGCGGACATTTCAATAATAAAAAATAGGTTTAACGTTTAAATCAGAAGGAAAATCAATGTTTGGGAAATGAAGCCGACAAAAGAAACAGACACACGATAGTTCTACAATCAAACTTTCCCGGAGAAAATTTCAGGTTTTTCCAAATCCCGCCCTTTACAAATCCACTGGAGACTAGTAAAACTTGCAATTTTTGCCCTTTACAAATCCCGCCCCTTTAACATCCGACTCCTCCAGGCATGTATAAAATCATACAAGTCTGTTCTTGCTTGTCAAACGACGATAGATAAGATGATTAAGGAAATATAAAAAGAGCAAAAACAATTCAAGCGGACAGAACATTTCAATAAAAAAAATAGGTTTAACGTTTAAATCAGAAGGAAAATCAATGTTTGGGAAATGAAGCCGACTAAAGAAATAGACACACGATAGTTCTACAATCAAACTTTCCTCGAGAAAATTTCAGGTTTTTCCAAATCCCGCCCTTTACAAATCCACTAGAGACTAGTAAAACTTGCAATTTTTGCCCTTTACAAATCCCGCCCCTTTAACATCCGACTCCCCCAGGCATGTATAAAATCATACAAGTCTGTTCTTGTTTGTCAAACGACGATAGATAAGATGATTAAGGAAATATAAAAAGAGCAAAAACAATTCAAGCGGACATTTCAATAAAAAAAATAGGTTTAACGTTTAAATCATAAGGAAAATCAATGTTTGGGAAATGAAGCCGACAAAAGAAACAGACACACGATAGTTCTACAATCAAACTTTCCTGGAGAAAATTTCAGGTTTTTCCAAATCCCGCCCTTTACAAATCCACTAGAGACTAATAAAACTTGCAATTTTTGCCCTTTACAAATCCCGCCCCTTTAACATCCGACTCCTCCAGGCATGTATAAAATCATACAAATCTGTTCTTGCTTGTCAAACGACGATAGATAAGATGATTAAGGAAATATAAAAAGAGCAAAAACAATTCAAGCGGACATTTCAATAAAAAAAATAGGTTTAACGTTTAAATCAGAAGGAAAATCAATGTTTGGGAAATGAAGCCGACAAAAGAAATAGACACACGATAGTTCTACAATCAAACTTTCCTGGAGAAAATTTCAGGTTTTTCCAAATCCCGCCCTTTACAAATCCACTAGACTAGTAAAACTTGCAATTTTTGCCCTTTACAAATCCCGCCCCTTTAACATCCGACTCCCCCAGGCATGTATAAAATCATACAAGTCTGTTCTTGCTTGTCAAACGACGATAGATAAGATGATTAAGGAAATATAAAAAGAGCAAAAAACAATTCAAGCGGACATTTCAATAATAAAAAATAGGTTTAACGTTTAAATCAGGAAAATCAATGTTTGGGAAATGAAGCCGACAAAAGAAACAGACACACGATAGTTCTACAATCAAACTTTCCTGGAGAAAATTTTCATTTCACACATTATGAAAAGGTCCAGCCGGGATTCGAACGGAAAAGATCACCCAAATTGCAATTTAATGATCAAAATATCCCAAAAAGTTGGCTTTCAAACCTTTTTATTAAAACTTAGCAGCAAATTTTCGCTTAATAATTTCTCTTAGAGGCCAGCACGTTCTTACAAAGTTATATTTGGCTTCTGTTCTGATCAACGCATAAACTCAGAGCTCAACTTCTTTAAAATCTTGACTCTTGACAAAAAATAAAAACCAATAAATGCTTTTTCTGAGGATACAAGAACTTTACACCCACAAATAACAAGCACAATTTAATATTTCCATCTAAAAGTCAAGTTCATGAGAGCCAACAGGAGAAACAGGAGCAAGCCCGTCAGCAAATATTTCTTCTGTTTTTCTCGTCATTTTTGTTCAAATTTCAGCGGCAACCTTGTGTTCGATTATTTGCCAATATAAGGAGGTGATACGCACTGGTGCAATCGTATAGAACTCGTTTGCCCTTAGTACTCCATTCTCTCTCCCTGACCTGACCTTGACCTCTACTTTGACCTCTCCCTCATCTTCCTCCTCTTCTTCTTCAGTCTCCTCACTCGCTTCTTCTTCCACTTGTCTCTCATTGCTGTGTCTGAAATTAATTCTAACTCTATTGATTTGAACTGTCAATTTCTATTATTTGAACAGTTTTTCAGAGAAAAGGCGTTTTATGTACACTTTATTAGAACAAAATACGTAACCTATTGAGCCAAAATAGTTAGTGAAGAACAATGAAAAACGGCCATGTTGAACAAGCTCAACATGCTTTTCTTCAAAATTACAAGTCTGAATCGAGCGCTTTTTAGATGCACTATTCCTTAACATTCTTAGGAGATTAAATGTCTACATTTGTAAAACTTGCATTAATTGATCAATTTCTGCTCGGTAGAGGCGGAATATTCTGCTATCGAATCAGTTCATTCAAACAATAGTTTTCAGAACAACAAATAGTTGATAGTGTTTAAGTAACTCTCCAACCACAGAATATAAAGAAACGCATAAATTTTTATCCTCAGCAGTTTGATTTGTTACAATACTATAAATGGTCTAAATTAGTGAGTCATTCAACGAATCTATTCAATTTATTCACTCCATCTTCTCATTTATTCAGATGGGCAGTTTGAACTTGACGTCCACTTCCACTTCTCTAGCTAGTCCCACAATGTCACTGAAGCGCACCACTTTCTTGGCGGCCTCGTCCAAACTGTCACAGGCGATTATCTTCAAGTCAGACGCTGTGATTCGCTCTCTCGCAGCTTCCTCGTGAGAACCTGAAGTCAATGTTGATCACAATGAAACAATGGATCTTTTTCCTCCTCCCCCCTCCCCCACCACCTCGCACAAGCATCACATCAATTTTATCTTTATGGCGTAACGAGTGGTTTTACAAGGTTAATGATGAAGATCAAATTCGCTTACCATGAACTAATGTTCATAACAATCGGACGATGCGAACAAAAGTTACATGAGGGGGAGGAAAAAGAGCCCAAACAATACCTAAAGAGTGAAATGAAATTCTTCAAACTTCAATCAGCTTCTAACTAAAATCCTAAATTTTTTATAGCAAAATAATGTCTAGTTATGTCAAAAGACTTCAAGATTCATACACGTCATCAAACAACTATCTGTATTTTCAAGGTGCTCAAATAACTATGATTTGAAGAGGTCGTAGCGACATTTTCCGAAAAATCATTACGGAATAAAAACTTAATCCTTTAAAAACTTGAAAAGCCAGCCCATTTCGAAAAAAAAAGAACTTAAAGAAACAGAAAAAATGACCGAGTTGTTTAAAAAGTCGTTTATGAATGCCAATATTCTGATTAAAATAATAAAATATGACAAAAAAACTTCTATCAAAGTTTGACAAAAAAACTTCTATCGGTGATTATTTGTTCCGCCTTCCAAGTAATCATTGACTCAGAAGTGAACGTGAACCAAATCAAATCATGAAAAAAACACTGAAGGTGAAAAACGTTCTCCGATGGTGCAAATGGCAGCGTGAAAAACTGGACTGCAGGAATTGACGCCTACCTTGAAGCCGTACCACCACTGGTACTTTCAGCTGCAACTCTCTCGCGGCCTTTATGATGCCTTCTGCGATGACATCGCAAGACATGATCCCGCCGAAGATATTCACCAGGATGGCGTTCACACCTTTGTCACTTGTGATCAAGTCAAACGCTTCTTTCACCTGAAATAACCTTACGCATTGAACTTATTCTACCTGAAATGAATAACCTTACACATTGAACTTGTTTCACCAGAGATAACCTTATGCATTGAACTTCATTTGCAAACTTCAGGTTTTGGCTGAAAAGTTGCAAAACATCGGAAAATCCGAAAGTTAGAGAAAAATCCATAAGTGCTAATATTTAGACGGGTAGATTTTAGATGACAAAGCATCATGATCTTTTCAGCCTTCATTAATTATTAAGCAGATGCATTTATAAAGCGTTGGTGTGGCGCTATACAACCTGTGCGCTGATCGTTGCATGACGGAAATGTCCCTTTCAATATACTTTTTCTAACCTGTTCAACAGTAGCGCCACCGCCCACGTCCAGAAAATTAGCGGGATCTCCGCCGTGCAGCTTGATTATATCCATCGTAGCCATTGCCAATCCGGCACCATTAACTAGACATCCTATATTGCCGTCCAGTCCAATGTAGTTGATGTCTGCCTTTTCAGCTTTGATGTCCCGCTCATCTTCTTGCGATAAATCCTTCAAAATTCATCAAATCGATTAAGAAAAAACTATTATCAGCCAGAAAACGCCTGGCTGGTTATCGGATTTCGTAAGCCATTCAAGGTACTTCGAGCGAATTACCTTCTTACTGAAGATTTCTTTCCTTCTAAAAGCTGCATTGTCGTCAAAATTCATTTTGCAATCCATGCAGACGATTCTTCTGTTGTAGTCTAAACTAAGGGGGTTAATTTCTAAAAGAGTCGTATCGTTGGCCACAAAGATTTCGTAGAGTTTAATGAACGTCTCGGCTGCCTCTTTGTGCTGAGCCTCGGGAATCCCAACTCGTTTGGCGAACGAGATTGCCTGATCCATTGTCGGACCGGTTAAGATGTCTAAGGGCTCCTAAAAGGAATACCGATGAAACAACTCATTAATACGAGAGTGGCCGGTCACTGTGCTTGTAGGCTAGAAGGTTCCGATCACTTTAACTCACCATAAAAAGTTCTCATCTAATCTGTTGCTCAATTACTTTGATAAATTTTAGAGTGGTTGGTTTCTTGTAATTGATTTGAAACTGCATGTTAATAATATCTCAAAAATCATTGATACTAAAAACTAACAGACAGTTTAAGCAGTGTCAAAGAAAGCTATAAAACATAGTCAACTGGCAATTGGAAAAAGAGGAGTAATGAACACAAGGAAACTTCAAGTTTCGAATTCTGAAGATAAAAATTATACCCTTAAAGCTCTTTGAATTTCAAGAACAATTTATGATTGATGCTTTTTTTCGTAAAATTAATATAATTTGAGAAAACTGGATCAAAAGGTCAAGTTTTTATTCCGCTGGAAAATCTATAAATTGAATTCTTCTTTCGAAACTAGAAGTCGATCACGTTTTTTCGCGCCATTTCCACGCTCGTATTTGGCGAGTGCCAGACTTTTTAAACTATTTATAAAATGTCGAATTTGAAAGAACCATAAATCATCTGAGAGCTCTGTGAATCTCAAAATCTTTTATGGCTGGCACTTTTTTCATTATACTAACCCAATCATCGAAATCGGTTAAATAGTTAAATTTTTATCAACTGGAAATTCTAAAAAAAGTCCATTTTTGAAACTAGAAGCGACCGTTTTTCGTCCCAGCTAAACTTTTATTAACTGAGAATAATTTGTCTTCATTCGGCAAATGAATTGAAAATGGATTTAAGATAAATAAAAAAAATTGCAAAAAAAGCAAATTTGAGCGTGAACAATTTTCCTGAAGCAATTTTCCTTTCAACATTTTCATATATTTATCTCAATTTGTCTCGAATGATGTTCAGTTTTAGAAAAATAATAATTAAGACATCTGAATGGTAAAACAGCATCGGGCAGAATAATGATCCGGTAACAAGGCCGACAATACTTGAGCAGACAATCGTAGAGCCATAAAATTAAGTCCCCCATCAAAACACACACACGGATACACTTTTTTCTTTAATTTAACGACCAAGCCGATAGCCAAAATGTTTCAAGCCGAATAAAAAGAAAAGAAAACTGAAATATACCAAATCGGTTTTCATAACAAATTTCGAATAGAACGGGTATTTAGAAATCAGAGATGCAGAAAATATGACTTAATTGAAAGAACCGATTTTAAGAAATGAATCAGCGATTATCTTCGACAGATTATTTGCGTAGAAAAGGTCTTTGTTCCAATTTGCTAATCGCTAGCGAAAACTCTAGCGAGAACAAGACAAAAAACAGCTCTATAAGTACAATAAGAAAAAACTGAAACAAGCCTCAAATTAGTGAAAATTCGTCTACGCCTCTCGGATTCGATCTCCGACCGATCGCGACCTAGCGATAATGAGTATCACTCAATAAACACGGACGCTTTATGAATAACAAACACCAGCCACAAATATAGCAGAGAACAGATGCTCTGATATTTCCAATGGTACAGATCGTGATTATAGCGAAAGTGCCACCAAATAAGTGAACACTTTTATTTGCGAGTTGGGTTAGAAAAAAGAAGGTTCATACTTATACACTACGCTGCTCGCAAGTATAATACAACTCGAACTTTTACATCTTTGTGGTTCCGTATTTTGCGTGACTAAAGAACACATGTTTTTTTTTCAGTTCGACCAACCTTAATAATGGCCTCTGGATTTTCTTTTGCTACCGCTTCTATGTCCATTCCTCCCGAAGCGCTTCCCACAAACACTGGGCCACCGAATGAGCGCTCCATGGCAATTGCGAAATAGAATTCTCTCCTATTGAACAACCTCTCCACAATCAGAACTTGATTGCATGGCCTTCCTAAAGGGTCAGCTTATTTTTAAAAAGACAAATTAAATGTCGACCTCTCTGCAAGTACCACCGTGTTCTGATCACAGCAATTTTTGCAATGTAATATAAAAACAAAAAAAAACTAAAGCCACTTTTAACATCTTCACTATCGCAGTATTGACGTTTTAGTCGGATAAAATATAATTGCGTCCTCTTTCAACTGAAGTTATTTTAGGAAATTTTTCATTGCCACTCGACTCTAATCACGACTGAAAGTGTCAAGTTTGATATATCACTCCATTTCACAGAAAATTTTTTGCATGGTTTTGAAAGAAGTTACATGGTTTTGCGTGAAAAAATAAATGGATCCACATTAAAATCTGGTGGAACAAAAACACTGGATTTTGGAACAAAATCCACAAGAGATGACACCCAAAAAGCTACATTTTTTAACGAATTTTTCATCAGTGTATATCAAAAGGAATCAATTCCTAACCCTCTCGCACGAAATACAAACTGTTCTCCTACAGAAGAAATCTGTACACAAATACACATTGAAGAAACCAAAATCCAATACATTCTCAAAAATCTTTTAACAAATAAAGCGTCAGGTTTTGATGGTATAGGTAATATAATCCTAAAAAATCTTTCTGAAACTCTGTCAAAATCGCTCTATCTTCTCTTCCGCACATTCATTAACAAGCGGCTCTTCCCGACCTACTGGAAAACAAGTCAAGTGGCCCCAATTTTTAAAGAAAAGAACAAGGCGTCAGTCGAGTGCTACCGCCCAATTAGCCTCTTATGCTCCGCCTCGAAGGTCTTCGAAAAAATTATCTTTGATAATATATACCCCAAAGTTCAACCTTTCCTGGAAAACGCACAATACGGCTTCCGGCAAAAAAGGTCAGCAGTACTACAAATGGTACAATTTTTGAGCAAAGTATATGAACTCTACGATGACAAAAATGTTCAAACACTCTCAGTCCTTTATCTAGATTTTTCTAAAGCCTTTGATAAAGTTCCTCATAGTATCCTAGTCGCCAAACTACGGAACATAGGTCTAAGCATTCAAATACAAGACATAATACAAGACTATCTAACAGATAGAATGCAGTTTGTGAAAATCAATAAAAGTTCATCAACTCTGAAAGAAGTAACTAGCGGTGTACCACAGGGCTCAATTCTTGGCCCTCTACTTTTTATCATATTCATTAACGACTTTCCCAAATGCATTGAGAATTCAGATTGTTTTGGCTATTGTGACGATATGAAGATCTTGTCTACTGAAGAAATTCATCTGCAAAAAGACACGGCAAATGTTGAAAAATGGTGCAAAGAAAATAAAATGCCGCTGAATGAAGATAAATGTAATTTGTTAAACCTCAAAGGGAAAATGGAAGTTACACTATTTAATACAAATGTTGATACCGCAAAGACCCAAAAAGACTTAGGTATTTTAATGTGTCACAACCTTTCGTGGTCAGTAAATGCTGAAAATCGCATATCAAAAGCAATGGGAGCTTTTTACAAAATCAAACGAAATATCTCGAAAAAAAAACATCTTTAAAGTCAAAATTAAACTTATACTGCGGATACATCGTACCAATCATAAGCTATGCATCGCAAACATGGTATCCGAACAAAGCAGAATTAAGACAACTAGAAAGAGTACAAAAACGAGCGACATCTTGGATTACAAATAACTTCAAAATGAGTTATACTGAAAGACTGAAATTTTTAAAGCTCCTTCCACTCTCAATGTACTTTGAATTACACGACATATTGTACTTAGTTTCACTACTAAAAAATAAACATGACATTGATTTGAATACAATTATTCATAAAAACGAATCACGAACGAGACAAGCAACACGTGGTGAGATTGCTGTTCATGCAACAAGACTGAAAAAGTCAAATGAAAATTATTATATACGTTCTATTACGCTATACAACTACTTTAGCCAAATTGTGGACTTCGAAAATCAAGATTATGACAGCCTGAAAATATCTATAACAAACACGTTTTGGAAATTCTTCAACAGAAATTTTGCAGAAAACAACTTGTGTATGTGGAGAATTCTTTGCTGGTGTGGAAACTGCAACCCACCGGGAAAAATTATGAACTTATAAACGAGGGTTCAAAACCCATGGAGAAATCCTAAAGCCTACACTACTACTACTACTACTACTATTTGAAAGCAGACCTTTAGCGCCCGTCTGTTTTGTAATTAGAGTATTCTTAAGCATGTTGGAGGAGATTTGTTCTACTTCTTCGGGAGAAAAGGCCATCTTCACGCCACCTTGCATGTTACTAGGGACAAAACTTCCTTTGCCACGGCCACCTGCCAATACTTGTGCTTTAACGACGTACTCATCGATAGAACTATTTTGGAGAAAAGAATCAGCAATAGATTTTGCTTCCGCAGGTGTTGATGCAACTTGGGCTTGAGGCAGAGTCAGCCCCTTTTCTCGGAGGATCTCGAAACTCAAGTATTCGTGCAATGACAGATCTCTCTTCGAGTAAATTACACTGACACATTTAGGTCTCATGAAGGACCTCGGAAACAAAACCAGGTTCCTTCCAAGAGAATTCATTGTTCCAACTAATAGTTGAAGTACATTTGTAATATCTGAAAACCTAGTTTTCATACACTGTTCAAAATTAATTGAAAGGACAAGCAATTACGTTTGTTATCCATCGTACTTTAAGTGCGTATCCGTAACTACCAAGCAAAAGAATCAGTCCAGCAATTCTAGAAACACAATTGGGGATAAACTATCAATTTTGAAAAGCTGTATTGATTTATAAGAAATCTAAAATGTTAATTCAAACGTTTTCGCACAATTTGTGCATCATCAGGATTAAAACTTTTTACAATACTTACAAAACGATCAAAGATCTGAAAAATTAGAAACGTTGCATTGTCCGTGTATTGATTTATTTTAATCGAACGCCAGATAATTGTAACATTCGCCCGGAAGATACATATCGAGGGAAAATAAAACTAAGTCCTAAGACGACTGGCTAACGTCTAAACAGAGCTTTAAATGTTTTTAACTGTGACATTCGACCAGAATGTGGAAAATGCAATCTCTGCAGAATTCGGAATTTTAGCAGTAAGCCTTCCGGATTGGTGGTTTTTAAAAACTAAGGGCGTTATTGGAACGTTTAGCCAAACGGTGAAGGCTGGAATATTCTAGTATTTTAAAATTTCAAAAATTCGAATGATGACGTCACATTTCTGAGAAATGCTGAAACGGCCATTTTTAACAAAAAACGAGTGAAAAAACAGAACAACAACGTTGGTTGCGCTGACGAGAACAACTTGATCGAAATTGAAGAAGTCGAAATTGAAGAAAAACAGCAGCAGAGTGCAGAGAACGTTCCGAGTTGCAACTAGTGTGCTGCTACAATAGTTGCAAGGCCGTTGCGAACAACGGTGAAGGGTAAGAAATCAGCCCTCCGTGTTATCGTGAATTCGGACTTGAGGAGCTTGATTCACTGGATTCGGGAATCCGGAAGGGTCTCGGGACGGAAAAATTTTATTGACTCATATGAACTTTTAGCATCATGTCATGTCCTGACTTGAATTTAATTGATATTTGGATTAGTTTTGACAAGGATGAGGTGCTAAGAGTTGGGGGGGAAAGGGTTGATCCATCTTCGATGGAGATGATGATTTTTATCTACTGAACAAAAACAATAGTAATATAATAAATAGTAGCCCTGTTTTTAGGAGTGACCTCGTGGTCTGGGGATACTGAGACCCAGCCATGAGCTCACTATTTTTGCATGTAATTCAGTTAATTTGAGCGTTCTGGTCGAAGCCGGAGAACAGTAACGTTTTTGTCGACCCGATGTAAGAAAGACCACCGAAAAGTACTGGCTTGGTAGAGACGGTGAAAAACATGCAAAGCTCTGTTTAGACGCTAGCCAGTCGTCTTAAGACTTAGTTTTGTTATCCGTCGATATGTATCTTCCGGGCGAATGTTACATGTATGTTTTTATGGCGCTCCTGGGTGTTATTCTTTCATAACATCATGACCGGCGGAACCGTTAACGAGCACTCCGCGCCGAGCGGATGCTCACATTAACGCCCTTAATAGGCCTAAACTGCCGGGGCGGAAGGGTAGTTCGGAACGCGGAAGCCTTCCGGATTACCGTGAATAGTTTTTTAACCTAGTTAAGACCGAAAATTCACGAACCAGGAAGGGTGGGGGGAATCATGAACCCCTCATCCCCTGAGTGGTTTGGGACCAAAAAAACTTAAAGATATAAGTGAAACCAAACAAAAAATAGTATAGTACCCAAGAAAAACAAAAAACATAAAAAATAACCGAAAAAACCAAAAATAGTAAAAAAAAAAGTAAAAAATCAGTAGAAATCATCCCCCCAGACAAGTTGTGATTCAACCCCCCGTTTGTTGTTGATAGATATATTGTTATTACAGGCATTTATATCAGTCAGGATCGTTACGATCAGTTTTGTAGCCCGTTTGTGAGGCTTGTACTGTAGGGTTATTTGAGCATTTAAGCACGTTAATGATAAATTGCGCTCAATCCGGAAGGGTCAGCTGATTTGCGCTCAATTCGGAAGGGTCCTGGGTGAAGACCGATCCGGCAAGCAGTACAAGGAGCAACAAGAAGGGGCTCAACGACAACAACAATCGACTGTTGGGTATCGTTAACAAGTTTTGTATCCCTTTAGGTACAAAAAGTAAGATAGTAATCTGTGGGGGGCTCGACAGTGCTGCACTGTAGTGACCCTTCACCGAACTGCGAATATCCGAGTTAAGCACCTTAATTCGGATAATAAACAAACCCGGAGGGGTATAGTATTACTAATATTATTATTTATATAGCCTATATTAATAGTCTTATATCGTGTTTCAGTGAAAAACAACGAAAACAGACCGGTTTTTAGGGTCAAAATAGCGATATTTTGATCCCCCCACAAGTCGCGATTTTTGAGATATCGATATTTTTTGAAACGGAAAAAAGCGCTAAGTTAGTGTGTTACATCGTAACTGCACTACTGTAATAAGTAGAACCGGTTAACTTTAGTTCGGAAGTGGTTGGAACTAGTTTGGTACCAAAAACCAAATTTTCCCATTTTTGATAGTAAGAAGCACTATAAAATCAGAAAATTTTTTGAAATCTTTGAGTTAGGACAGTAAAAATAGTTGTTCGGACAACGTCCACTAGTGAATCTACGAGTTTTAAAACCCGCTACCCGAAAGCCTTCCGGGTTGCAGAGAAATCGAACATAACGTTTTTGATTTGGTGGATTCATCAATCCGGAGGGGTCCAGGTAGCATAGTTTTTCGCAAATTTTTTCTACAAAAGCGTTTTAGATCGGGTCTTTTGCATTGAACTAGAAGAGTATAGGCCTTCTGAGCTCAGATCAATAATTTTTAGGTCGAAAGGACCAGATTTGCGGAAAAAGTTAGGCGGAACCTATAAGAGAGAAAATTTTTGAGTTTGGAAAAAAGACGTTTTGGTTAATAACTTTGGAACTACAGAGCATATCGAGTCAATCTTGGTACCATTAGATCAGAAATTAGCTGAACTTACTAGTAAAAAAAAGAATTACTCGAAAAAGCGAGCGAGAAAATTTTTGAGATTGTTTTTAGAAAAATTACACAAATCCGGAGGGGTACACCCTTCACGTTTTATAAACTTTTCTGAAAAACCCTTATACTCCTACCAAAAGTTGATAGCGATTGAACTAAGTAACTTAAGACAGTTCTAGACAAAAAGGGAGGGCTGAAGGCACAAGACAACCATAATAGGGTCGAAATTAGGCAAGTGATAAGACCCTTCACCGTTAGTGTGAATTGTCAAATAAGTGCCTTAACTTCAATCCGGAGGGGTCTAGGAAAGGACCCTATACCCTTCCCAGTTAATTCAAACAGCATAAAAGCAACGCAGAACGTATCCGGAGTGGTATAAGCTGAAATTAAGAGAACTACGAAAAGCTACTTTGACAGAGTTAAGGGCTCCCAATCCGGAGGGGTCGAAATTTTTCAAAGTCAGAGGGGTCCGAATCCGGAGGGGTCTACTTTCCACAAAACCGGAGGGGTTCGAATCCGGAGGGGTCTTATAGTTGCTAATTCGGAGGGGTCCAAATCCGGAGGGGTCTACTATTAACTAACTCGGAGGGGTCCCAATCCGGAGGGGTCTATATTCTGACAGTCCGGAAGGGTCCTATTTGTGCCAATCCGGAGGGGTATTATTTTATTAAGGACTTAGGTAAACGAAAGAAAGACTAAAAAGCGAGAGGTATTAGGTTATTAATACACAGGCTAGGTATCAGTGACTGCACTGGTAACTTGCCTTTCAAAAAGAACCAGACTAATACAAAACAGGTCCGAACTCGGATATTCGCGACACTAAGTCTAAATTAAAAAGAGCGTGACTCATTGGTGTGGATTGGAACATAACACGTTTTTTGGGAAAAGTGACTGCCCTGAGGATTTTAGTAGGTCTAGCTCGGGCAGTCCGAAGGCAGATAGGTAACACAGTACTCGGTGGGTGCAATAGACGCCCACTTGAGAAAATAACTGCCTTCAAAGTCTTGTCTGTTTGGTGCAGCACCAAGCAGGGAAAGCTTTTTCTTTAAAAGACAGGTTCAACTATTGTACTGCGACCGACTAAGAGTACAAGACACATTTGTTTTTTTATATATACATTCATATTGTGTCAATATATATTTTTTGTTTTTGATTTTAAATCATCCTAAACTGTGCTTGATTGGGTAGTGAGTACACTATCTTTTAAAATTGACTGATAACATCATATTGTGCTAGTTTCCAGATCTTTGGACCGATAATCGGTCAGTGTGAATAAATTTTATACAAACTGTACTCTGACAACATACAGGGATTCGTGGTCACTATTTAGTAGAATCTGGTGAAATTTATTGTGTTGTGTCATTATTATTGTTAATAAAACTATAAGGTCTCTAGCAATTGAGTCAAGAGTGGGCATAGGAAAGTGACAAATAAAGAATGAGTTTAGACAAGTCAAGGATACCAAAACGAGGTAATAGCTCTAGGAAATTCATACCTGAAAAGCAAAGAAAAACGATGACCGATCCTTTTGTGGATTGGATCAAGCGAACCCGGTCCGATAAAGAGGAGACGGTTTCAGGCAGAATGGTTGAAACGAGAAGTCAGAAGACCTCAGAAGAGCGAAGAGAACTGTTAGAAGTGGAGGTCAATACGGACCATACCATGAACGACAACCAGGGAGTAAATGGACTGGAAGGGAGAGGCGGAAGGCTGGCGAGTGAATCTACTCCGGTAGAACAAGGCCATGATTTTGCCACTTCCACCGGGACATTGGATCGAGAGGAGATGTCGGAACTGTCCGACATCTCAACTGAAGTAACGGCAACTAGAAGTTCTCCGACAGACAACACTATGATGGCAAGCGGAACTGGGAAACAAACAACCTCATCATCGTTCTCAGAAAGAACGAAGAACACCTTCGGAAACATCTTTCCATTCAGCATGGGAGGAGGAGCAGGAAACGATGGTGAGTCCCAGGAGGAAGAGGATGAAGAGGAGCAAGGGGACTTTGGATCTCAAGTCAGCCTCAATAGTTCGATCCAGGAGAGTGAGGCACACGTCGGAAGAGAGACTGGAACCATGGATAAATTTGGTGTAGTGACAACGATAAGCAAAGAGGCAAACACACCGGGCCAGTCAAAGGACTTCGCGATTAGGACAAGTTCGGAGCCACAACCTGGAGAGAGTAGAACCAGAGGGCTTGGCAACGCGTTAATGGATCCTGAATTAAATAATGAAAAGACGTTGAAGCAGAGAG